GTTGGAGCAGCCTCAGCTGGCTGAGGCTGCTGGGGATGGAGGCGCTGGTGAAGTGAAGGTGGCTGCCACCAGCCCCTCTGCATCCAGCCCCACAGGGACCCACGTGCCAGGAGGCATGGGATTTGCAAGCAGCAGGGAGAAGCAAAGCAGAGAGGCACTGAGATGGAGAGGCTGGGGAACAACCCACCTCCCCCCAACACTCAGAGACACGTCTCCCTTCCAGGCTGCCCATATGGCTGAGCAGTTGTCCCCAGAGATGGCCCAGGTGACGGCTGCGGATGGTGTTGAAGCCCCTCCGCTCCGGACCACCCGCCGCGGGTCCCAGCCCCCAGCCCCCGCCCGGGGCACTGAAGAAGGCAAACCACCGCTCCTACCTTCTCGCCGCAGCTCCATCCTCAGCACCCTCCCGGGGCCCCTGGCCAGCCGCCGCAGCTCTCTTGGGGCAGCCCCAGGGGGCAGGCGCCCCTCCATCGGCCCATGGATGCTCCACAGCCGTGTGAGCTTCTCTGGGCTCCCCCTTTTCCAGCCCATCCTCAAGACCCGCCTCGAAAACACCTACAGGATGGGGCCTGATGAAGGCTGCAAGTTCGATGCAGAGCGGGTGCAGCGGGTGCTGGAGGGGGCCTTGGCAGGCGCCTTGGGGACCACGGTCTACAGCCCCCAGGGCAGCGCCCCACTAGCCCAGAGCCTGGCCGAGCTGCTGCGGAGTCAGGCAAAGGAGGTGGTGCCACCCCGCTACAAGCTGGTCTGCCATGTGCTGCTGGGCCAGCGGGGCCAGCAGAGCCTGCTGGTGGCCAGCCGGGCACTGTGGGACCCTGAGAGTGACAGCTTTGCTGCTGCCACCTTCTCCAATACCTCCCTCTTTGCCGTGGCCACAGTGCATGGGGTCTACTTTGAGTAGTAGCCACCTGTCGTTTCACCCAGACTTGTAGGGCTACAGGGGGACAAGAGCTGAAATAAAGGTTTGCTCCAGCTGTGGCTCATACCTGGGAGTCTTTGGCCATGGTGTGTACAGGGAGCGAGGCACGGATGCACCTCAGTGCCCTAGTGCTCGCTACAGCCCCCAGCCTCGGCTCACACCCATACCATAGCTTCCACTACCACAGTTTGCAAAAAAGACCTAAACTGCAGCAAATACAACCCAAAAGAACGCATCACCCTGGAGCGGGCAGCTGCCCGAGGCTGTGCTACAGGGAGCAGCCGAGGCAGGTTCCCACAGCGCAAGCTGCTCCCAGGCAGATTGATTACACCAGTACTGGGGAAGGAGGTGACAGATCACCTTCAAAGCAAGCTCATGGAGCCTATTAAATCCCACCTCTTTCCTGGCTCCACTCCCAGCTCGTATCCCATCACAGGAGGTGTCACAGTGCAAGAACCCAGGCCACCCACCCCCTGGGCCACAGCTCCTGCCTTCTGCAGCTCAGCAGAAGCGTGAGAGGGGCTGGGTTTGGTCCAAGTGCAGAGACAGTTGGGAATGAGAGTTTGGCAGCAGCAAAAAGAAGCTGAGGCAGCTCCAGGGCTCCACAGGCATCAGCAAGACCTAACTCTGCCCTTCCTGGCAGGTACCACAGGGGCTCCTCACCCCTATCCCGCCTCCCTGACCTTGTCCCCCAGCAGCAGCCATCAGTAAGCAGCCCTGGAGCAAGAATAAAGATGAAGCTGAAGCCCTTTTGGGACCAAGGCTCCAGCTCCAAGCAAGGTGGACACAGTTTGCCCGTACACAAATAAGTTTTTATTGAGGCGAGTGAGGGAGAGGGGAGCCACACATGGACAGACCAACAGGAAAATAAATAATTCCATATAAATAATATACATAAATAGTCCCACATGGCAGAGACTGCCTTGAAACAAGAAACATCCCTGGGTCCCAGCAAGACAAGGGCTTCTCCAGGCAAGCCCTTGGATCCCATCCCCCCCCTGTACCAGACAATTCACAATTTGGAAGCGGTCGGGGCATGGCTGGACCCAGCAGAGCCCCTTCCTTAGTGTAGCAGTTGTGGAGTGGCACACACCAGCCCACGCAGCCCCCGGCAGGGCAGGCAGCGCCCTTCACCCCTGTCCACCCCTGGGAAGGGGTTTTCCCTACCCCACAGCAGCCAAGCCTTGAGGTCAAGGCTGTGCCGGTCCTCTCCAGGCCACGGAGAGGGTCTGTGCAACTGGTGCATCACCTCGGGCAGGGCAGCCCGAGCCCCCACTGCAGGCAGCTGCCAGCCAGGGCAGCCTGAAGCACCAGGCCACAAACAAGGCACAGCCAGACCCAAACCTGGCTGCAGGGCACTCGCCCACCACCTCCCTGTGCCACCCCAGTTCACTCCACCAAGACCAGCACAACCAGAGCAGGAGCTGCCAGCGGGAAGACAGCGATTGCCCAGAGCCAGGGAGCAGCAAGGACATCCAGACCTGCTGCTGTAACCACATCCATGTGTCTTATTCCAGAGTCCAGCTGAGTACCGGAATACAGGGTGCCCAGGTGGGCAGCCAGCACCATAACATACCTCCCATCCTGTGGGAGGGCAGGGGGAAGACCTCTACATCCAGAGAGGGTCCCCCAAGGTCCCATGCTAGGCCTCAGCCCGTTCTTGGAGGAGCTTGAGGATGTATCTGAGGCGGTGGTGGAGTTCAGGAGAGCAGCCCAGCTCCTGGATGCTGCACAGCTTGTAGGTGTAGGAGTTGCGCTCCCGGTTGATGTAGGTGACAAGGCAGGAATGGTCAGGCTTGCTAATGATCACCTTGGTGTGGTCATTGTAGAAGTTCACCTAGAAGACAGGTTGGGCTTGGTTTAACCCACGCTTCCTGCAGCATGTTGAGAGCCGGGATGGAGCCACACTTCCTGCCTCAACCCGTTCCTCCTCCCCAACCTGCCTGGGAGCATCCCTGCTCCATGCCCCAGAGCGGGAACACGCCAGCCCCAGCACTGGGGTGGATGGAAGCAGCCAACTGAAGCGTCATGTCCCCCATGGGGTGGACAAGCTGCAACCAGCAGCTCCAGGCACTGGAGCAGTATCCTGCACCCACAGCTGTTTTCACAGCTGGACCTTGCATTTGGGCTGTGGCAGACTAGATCTAACACAGGCCAGCAGTCCCCAGCTGGCCCCCTCCCCACAGGGGTCTGGGGATCTCCACTGTGCCCCACACCTACCTGGAGGGTGCCACTGCTGAAGAGCATGAGCAAGGCCTGGTCGGTCTTCACCCACTGCAGGAGGAGCAGGGCTGGCTGCCCGAGGTCATCTATGCTGGGCAAGTCACCTCCCTTGGAGAGAAGAGTCTGTGTAAGCCATTGGTCCCATACATGGGAACACTGCCACCAGCATACCCACAGCCAAATCTGGACACACCCCCATTGAGGTCCCCACTCCCAGGACACAACTCTCTGGGTGTCCACCTGGTCACAGGCTATGAGCAGAGAATTCCACAGCCCCAAGTAGTGTGGTCAAGCCACGACCCAACACCCAGTCTACCCATGACCCCAGCCCAACCCAGGGCCCCAGCACCCACCTTCATGAGATGCTGCTCCATGTAGGACGCAAAGTAGCGCAAGACACTCATCTGTCCCTGCAGCTGCTCAGGGATGGCAGCCACAGAGAACACAAGGTGTTTGCTGTTGGTCGGGTTGTAATGCACAGTCCTGGGAGGAAGAAGACCATGAGCTTTGGGGACACCCAGCACCAAACCTACCCCTGGCACAGCCTCCCCTTGCCCCTTCCCACCTGAGGGGCTTCCCCAGGCACCAGCCCCTTCCCCAC